TTGACGATAATTTTGAATGAAGTGCTAGTTCAAAACGAACTTAGTGGTAGCTTTGAGTAAATTTTATCTTTGCTCACTTTAAGCTACAATGTGGTTACTTTGAGCAAGTTTCACTAGCTTAGAGTGATCTTTTATGTAGCTTGGAATCATGGTTCCTCTTTAAGACTTCTAACTTCAAAAGTATTTTTTTTTCCGATGTTATATCTCAACATAGAAAGACATTAAAAATATTTAATTTTTTAACAATTAAATCCTAAAATAAAATTAAGTCCTGACTAAATTTTTTATGATCAAAAATAATATTTACAAGTATAAAATATATTAATAATTGTCTAAATTAAATAAAAATTGTATGCGAATTTGACAATCATTAGAAAGGGTCGGGGTAACTTTGGCATATAGTGAATGCTTTTTATTTGAGACAAAAAGTTATCTCAAAGTTTATTGAGTAATAAAATAAAAAGATTTTGTCCTACTCTTCTTCTATCTTTTTTGTCATGTCTTATAACTCATTTGTAAATTAAACGTCGAACAAATATATTTTTCATATATAGTATTATGATTTTTTACGAAGTGGACCCTAAATATGTTAAGATATTTTTACAAACTTAATTAAATATAGTATCTTATTTTTTTTATAATAAATAATGTTATAAATTTAAATTTTATTCTAATTTTTCTCTTTAAATTAAATAGTTTAACTAGTAATTATATTTAGTGATACAATATCTAATTCAAAAGTTTTACCAATCTATATCACTTGTGTTGTTATTAGACAATAAGTATATCCACTTTAATTTTAAATGTGTTTTATCAATAAATTTCATCATAAATAAAAAATATAAAAAATTAATAATTAATATATGTTAAAGTAAGTATATATTTCTTATAATTAGAAAAAAATGTATTCAATTATTATTTTTTATATGAAGTACAACACCGTAGTAGTATTTAAAACTGCAAAAGTAATTTATGATTTTTCTAAAAGTTATTTTTTTTAACTTATTTTAATGAAATTATTTTTAAAACTTATTTGTAATATATTTTATAGTCAAGTAATATATACTTTTATGTGATCAAATAAAATAAATATTTTTTAACTAAATAATTTAACCTTAGTTCTCAATAAATTTCTACATCGATACTTATTTTAGATCATGATAAAATTTTAGTTCCAATAAAAAAATTTGTTATTTAGCAAAAAAAAAAAAAAAAAGAAAATGTCAAGTTAAGATTATCATAACAAGTTAAGATTTTAGTTCCTCATAATGAAGTCGACCATTTTTTATGAGTTACCTAATTCTAAGATAAAGTATGTCCTAATTGCTTGTTGGTGGCCAAAATGGCTGCGGGTGTTACTACAACTTGACTACTTGCTCTACAAGTTGATGTACAAGCCAATATTTTGGATCAACAATAACTGCAATTCTCAGTTATGCCCTTACAAGTCAAATGTAACACTAGTGATAGCCATATAAAGTAGACTTTAATTGAGTATTGGATTTACCATGTTGGAAGGGTGGACATTGGATTTGCCTAATTCCTAAAGCCAGTTCCAAAGTTATGCCTAAGGTAGGATTTTTATACCTAAATTAAATAACCATTAGAAAAACATTACATCATTAGTTGCATTATTTTTAACCTAGGTGACATCATTAATTGAGATTAATGCTATCAAATTGAGTTAATTCTACCAGTATTTGTTAATCTAATTAGTATAGTCATCGATTCTAATTAGTATTGTGATTGATTCTCAGGTTTTAAAATCTCAAATTCAAATATTCTATTTAATTAAAAATGACACGAAGAGAAATAAATGATCTAATGATCTAACTTAAGTCTTTAAGTCTTGTTCAAAACAAATACACACATAATATTCTCACATTGTTGATGCTCCAATAAGATCAAGAAAACAAGATTTAACATAAATGTTACATTTGATATATGACGTCTTTTGTATTGTTTTTATACTAAATCTAGTGAAAAAAGTTTGTTCCTAAATTATGAAATTTTGCTTATCATATATATTTTTAATTTTATTTAATTAATTTTGATTGTTATTTCAATTAACAAATTTGAATTTAGTGGCAAAAAAATTGATTGCTTAACTTAATATTTGGAATCAAAATTACAACGAAATAAATGGGGGCCTGAAATTTGTGAATGCTGCAACTCTTACCAAAACTTTATTAATTAGTATTTTAATATATGTAATGATAAGATAAATATTTATTTTATATTACTAAAATTTGTAATAAATAAATATTTTTAAATATAGAAATTATATATTTAATTAAAATTTATAATAAATTAATATTTTTGAACATATAAGTTATATTTAGATTTATGATAAATAATTTATACGGCTAGAATACTTTTTAATGGTCATTTAATTTAGAAATAAAATAAAAATGATAAAGTAAAAGAGATAAATTAAAAAAAATGGATACCCTTTTTTGATTATAATTATTAAAAATAAAAATTATTTTAAAATATATTAATTGCTAAAAAAAATTTATATTCTACTACAAGTGAATATATTTATTAATTTATTAACAATATAGCATTATCCTCTTTAATTAAAAAAAAAAAGAAGTTATCTTTTGCATTAGATGTAGTGTCAGTTAAATGTAACTATTATTTAAATCATTCAATTTAAAGGATATTTTTTACAACAAAACTTAATTTATGAGTTTATCAATGAAATTAATTACTGTATCTACTAAATTATTTATTTCTTTCTTATGTAAAACACCGGAGAGAGTATAATTATCCTACACATTCGATTACGAGCAAGATTTTTTGAATAATGATGCATTTAGTCTCAATTTATTTAAATACAATTTATTTTGAATTAAAGATTTTTGAATCCCACTGAGGAGAGTGTTTGGTTAGGTTGGCTAAAATAATAATCCTGGAATCCCACTATGGTTTCTTATGAATGTGTTGTGTCTTTGACCGCAACGCAAATGGCACGAAGCATATCACGTGAAATTGAATTTGGCCCTTGGCTTGACTGCTTTAGAGAAAGTGCATAATTCAAAATCTCAAATCTCAAATCTCAAATCTTCAAAGGACAATGCTTATGTTGTGTTATGCTTCCAACTTACACTCTTTAGTCATTTTCAGAGCATTACCATCCCAACATTCTATTTAGATATGCCATCCTGTTCTTGCTAAGGATCACCCACATTTCGGATCTAGTTTACAACTTTCAACATACATACACAAAATTAAAAGTTTAAATATATTTTTTAATATCTATTATATAACTATTTTTACTCTATATGCATATCAATTATATAAGATTGTTCTAATTTAATCAATAATATCGAATTTGAATTTTAGATATACAATTGTGTTGATTCAAAAAATTTTCTTTTATCATGTATAATAATATGATTTGATTTCAACATAATTATCTTATAAAAAAATATGTATGATAATAATTAAAAATTATTATATATATGGCTGTTTGTTTTTAGTCTCATAAATTTTTTGTTATGATTGTATTTTCAATAAAATATTATTTAAAATTTTAGTTTTTAATTATATTTACTTTAACTCTTATTATTTAAGAAACATCGCAATTAATCCTTTATAGATTATTTCTCGCATTAATAAACAATGACGAGCTAAAATTGTAAAATAAAATTTTATACGACTAGAATCATAAGAAACATTTTGTAAGAAATAAAGTCTAAAACCATAAAACATGTATATTATAAGAATTAGAAACATGCTTAAATCTGTAAAAAAAAATAAACTTAACCTTAGATTTGTAAGAAATGGAAAGGTACATGCAACTCACCCTACTTATTTAATTTCTCTATATACACACATAACTTTAAGTAAGTGGGAGTAAATTATTTAAAAAACAAAAATAAAAAATAGACATTTAAATTAAATACTTAAATAAAAAGTAATAAATTATCAGATAAATGAGAAATTGGGACTTTTAGTAAAACATACTTAAATTATGTTATTTACATGTGATTATTTTTAAAGTGAGCGGATGCATGTACATACTCTCATTTCAATGTATGTCTACCACTAAGTTCAACTCATTTTATTGATAAAATTTCAACCAAATATTATATCATCAATAATTTCAATTATATAGAGAACAGTTGAATTATAATTATATAATTATATGTTATATTGTTTGTTTATATCATTTTTAAAAATTTAAAAATAATAACAAGGTATTTTAATTTGGATATATATAAATGAGATATTAAATAATTTTAAATTATTATTATTATATATATAATTTATGTTAAATGAACTTTCAATCCGATAATAAACTTAGCCTCTAGGGTATACAAAACAAGATTAATCGACAACAAATGTCAAACTTTTGCAATTAGCTCACTTAATAGTTTTTTTAGGATTAAAAAAATAATACAATCATTAAGTCACTTGATATTACTTCTGTGATACTGTATAGTGTATATTAACTTTTACATAATTTAAATATTTATTGGTATATTATCTACTAATAAATATTTGTATGTCTTAAATGGTATATTGTCCACCAAAATATATTTATGCTATGAAATATCAATTATTGTTTTATTTGTATGAAATTTTATTTAATATATTTTATAATACAGTATTCTTTTCAATTTATCTTCATCTAAAATTTCCAATTATTCAACCAATACAATCTTAAGATTGCATAGTCTTATTAATAAAAATAGGTGATAAATAATACATCATATCTTAATAAAATTTATTACTTAATAATTCAAATTAATAATAAATCATTTTTAAAAATATGAAAACTGAGATTATGGCCATAATAATTCTGAATCTAAAACAAGTGCTTGATTAGCCTCTTAGTTGCCATGGCCTCTCCTTTATTGGTTGTTGAACCTGAAAACAAATTCAGAGCACTTCATTGTTGTCGTGCCCCAAATCCACAGTAAAAAAGTGATGGGTACATCCCCTCAGAACGCAAGTGATGGTCACTATCTATTCTCTTTTCCACCAAGTGCTTCAACAAAAGGATATGAATATGATATAATAATAAAACTATGAACACATCCTCTAGACTTTAACAAGAAGTACAATAATACATTGCTAGCTGCTGAATCCTATAAAAAGTTACAGGGCACTCAAAAACATCACCCTAGATTGAAAGTCTAATAATTGCACAGAGGACCCAAATAACTATATTTACATTACTACTTTGGTCTAAACTGAATAAAAAGGTGCATCACAATATTTTGAAAATGAAAAACAAACCCAAAAACAACTAGGTTATCAAACATGAAATTATTATTTAATCATTCTAATAGAATAGACCATAGGAAGAATTGCCTTGAGACTCTTGAGCAAAATTTGCAGCAACTAAGGAATCTAAGATATTCACCCAATTCTCTTCTTCTTCATCCTCTTCCTCTCCACCACCAATTTGGCTCCACTGAATTGTACTGTTCTTGTCAATTTCATCATTCCTTGCAAACCTTCCTCTAATGCGTGGCCTGCTATCTGCTAATGTCTTCCTGCAAGCATACTGATTCCATGCCAAAACAAAATGAGTTAATATTTCACCTTAGTTTTTTGATACATAACTAAAAAGTAAAAACATTGCACTATGAATTGGAGGGTAACATAAAGGGTACATGGTTATTAAAACGTTTGATTGATCATGTTCTCCAAGATTAAGATTAATTGTACGCAGTAACATTAATGAACAAGATTAAGAATCTGTTTAGATTATAAAAAAAATAAAAAGAAAAAATAAAATTAGTCTATGCACACATAATTTACAAATGAACTTATTTAATGTTTTGTATGGCCAGCAGGGGCTATCTATCAAGCAAAGCGTATGGGGAACAAATTCTTGTCCTGTTATATTGAAAATGTCTCGGTTCTTTCTTTAAACCAAGATTTTGTCAAATGGATTATCATTTTACTGTATCTCTTAACTCTTAATTCAACCTTGGACATGATTTTGCTTTCAATGATAGATCATGAAACGAATTTAAAAAATGCGGGCTGACAATGGTTTTACTCTTCACACAGTGTCGTCCACCATATTCGTAGATTTGTGGTTCTTTTGGAATATAAATTTTAGTGTATAAAATTTCACTTGATGCAGCCAAGGACTTTATTCACAACAGTAAAACGTAGAAAGCTACTAAAAAGTCTGTGATTCTTTTGGAATATACTGTTTATTTTAGTGTATGAAAGTTAAATCGATGCAACCCAGGACTTTATTCCTAACAGTAAAACATAGAAAGCAACAAAAAGTAAATATAACAAAAATAACGTGTTTGTGTGTGTATTTAAAAAATATAAAAGACAGAGAGTGAAAACCTTAATTTTCTTATTGAAGTTCCGCTGGTTCCTCTTGCTTCTGTATCTTTCAATTCTCACTTTCTTCTCCTCGGGGCTATATCGACAGGCTCTGCTCATTCCTTCTATGATCATACTACTTTCACTTGATAATGGACTATCCGTGTGATGATTATGTAGCACTCCATTAATCCTCTGTACAAAAGTTCCACTTTATTCAAAACAAAATATTTATTCATAATTAATGCATTTTACAACAAAAAAAAAAAGAATCTCAGATTCTCGTTGACATAAAATTCTAATATCGAAAGTATTTAATAAAGTAATAAACGTTATAGCCTAATTAACCTCAAATCAAATTAATAAAACATGGGATATGATCGTTCCATTATTTCTTTAAATGAATCCTTTGCATTCTGGATCATACTTGTTAGTCTATAAAAACAGTATAGTCCAAATCTTTATGAATTTATTTTTGTCACTATAAAATGACATTTTTAGGAATTGAGACAATTATGCATATATAAGCTTATATTTTTCTTCATGTTTTAATGATGTGAGACACTGAGTGTATTCCAGCAATAACTAAGTGTGAAAAACAAATGATGATGCAACAAAAATGAACATGGTTGCATGGATTAATTGGTACGAGTTGTTTGAGTTAAATTTGGTAGAATATTTAGTGTAGGGTAAAGAAATGGTAGAAAAAGTAAGGAACCTGAAGATCACCGGTGCTGCAAACTCTCCTAACGGGAGTGTCGTGGAGCAATTCAGCGAAGAGAGGAGAAAGAGGGTGGTGGGTCCCATTGTTGTAGTTGAAGGAATGGGCGCTAACACTCCTCTGCATCAAGTTGGAAGTGGGAGAGGGTGACCCACCGTAACTGCTACAGTTACTATTATTGTTGCTAGCGCTGTTGTAGTAACAACTAGTACTGTCCAAGTTGTTGAGTTGGGAGAGGACATCGAACTCGGTGATGTCAGGGAAGAGAGAGGAAGGGGAAGGGAGGGGTGATGAGGTGGTGCTGGAGTGTGCATACATGGTCACAACTAAGAGAATGAATGAGTGAAAGGAGAGAGAGAGAGAGATAGAGAGTGAAGATAAATGGTATGCTGCTGGTGCCAACAATTTAAACACTTCTGAATTATGTTATGAACACTGTTACTGTCTCTCAAGCTCTAGTAATTAAAAAATAAGTAATAATAAAAAAAGATAGGATGAGAGGTGTGGGTGACGTGGATGGTGACGTAATATTTGAAAGAAGCTAGGGAAAGCGTTGACCTCTGTCTCTCAACACAGACGAGGTATAACTATAACAGTATAACCTAAAAAGTAAAAACATTCCCCTCCAATTCACCGTAGAATTAGTCACAGTCAAGATGATTCTTCTTAACTATAGAGCAGTTAAATGATCAATTTAGGTCACTTTAGTTTAAATTTTTAATGGGTCATTTGTTTATTTCTTTTGTGTGTGAGTTTTCACATCCACAATGAAACCTTTTGGTTTTGGTTCTGATGAGAAGAGAGGTCAACGAGAAAAAAAAAAAGGGGGAGAGGACACTGTTAGCTTATAAGTCTCAAGTCACTTCACATTCAATCACACTCTCACATCCTACTTTCCTCTTTCACAACAGACAATTCTTATGTCCCAATTTAGCTACTCTCAATTAGGCTCTGTATTCTAAACAATGCCTTCATTATATGGCCTAACAAAGAAGTGAGGCCGCTTTTTAAAAATGTTTGAAGAACTATTATCAGTAGGAAAGATTCCAACTTAAAACATTTTCCTTATTAATTTTAACTCTAGGACTGGGTTGACTCATGCATCGTTTCAAAACATGTATAATTTAGCATGAATTACAAAATTTATTTATGGAAATTGAGTTTTGTTTCGATCATAAGAACATTGGTGTAATTATATTTAAAGTATTGTCTATTTTAATACTCGTTGGATCATTACGATTTTATTTCTAAAATGGTATCTTAATAGATTAAAAGAGGAGGGTTGTGTTTATAAATTATCCTAACCCTTGATTCTTAAGTGATGTTGAATTTTTAGATATATTAATACAAACTCTCCGGTTAAGGCTAAGGAACAAAAATGACCTAGCCTCATATTCTAGTGCTAATGTTTCGACCATAAGTCTATTAATCATTATTAAGGTCAATACGTCCAAGATATTATTCACCTTGGTGATGCGAGAATTTTAAACATACCAAAACAAGCTTTTTAGTTAGGTTATATTTATAAGTTATTTTTATTCTCAATTTTTAAGTTATATGAGACTTTTAGATATATCGAAACAAACTATCTAGTTGAGATTAAGGGAAAAAAGTGATTTGGGTATTTCTTTTAACATTCATATTCTAACCGTAAATCTAGTGGCATATGAGGTATTGTTCACTTTGACGATTTGAGAATTTTAAACATATCAAAACAAATTACCTAATCAAAGTTAAGGAGTAAGAGTAACCTAAACTCTTGATAAGAGTGGTCAAAATATTTCTTCTAGCATCAATATTCTAATTATAAACCTTTTGTCATTATCATGGTGATTGCGTTAGATTATTATGAAAAAGTGTTTCAATAAATCAAGGAGAGAAAATATTCATATACTATCATTATTAAAATATCATTATTAAATGATATGAGACTTTTAATAGTATATCGAATCAAGTTTAATTCACTTGTAACCCGTACGTATGCATGGATAGTGCGGTATTTGAGTCCAAAATCTACAAGTATGAGACATGAAAACATAGGTTAAGTCTTACAGTTTTCTGACGGGAATAGACGAATAGTTGATGCACCGGAAATGTTGTTGGACAAAATAAACATAGGGTGGATCAAATTAACATGTATAGATTTGATTTTTAATTCATGAGAATGTTTTATTTATTTTATTTTATTTTCCTGCTAGTGCTTATTGTTGAAAAGTTTATAGAAATTGAGCCATAATTACAGTGTTCCATTTGATTTAGCCCTTTTAATTTGTTTTATTTAAGAAATGGGTACAGTTTAATTCTAAGCAGCAAGTCGTCTTCTTAATAATGATTTGCCGAAAGATATATAATTGATGTGAAAGAAAACTTACATACGCATACCTGAGAGCACTAATGATGAATTGCTAAAGATCTATATATATAAAATTATAAATACTGTTAAATTGGATTTGGATAAATATCATTTAATTTGAACATTGTATGCCTTGAAACCAAAATGTCAATAAAGTATTGGCTAACTATACTCATATTTTCTAATGTTTAAAATTATATCTAAAATCCTTTCAATTTTTAATTGCAGTGTGTTCTTTCAACTTTTGTAATAACATAAGGCATCAGAAAAAAATATATGATAACAAGAAGCTAGGATAATAATATTACACTGCGATATAAATTGGGAAAAATCTGTTTAAAATCAAAATGAAAAATATATCAATAATTTTGTTAAACTTTAAACTATTTAAATATAATTTACCCATACAGATAAATTACGATATAAAACTATTTCATAAGAATGCTTCTATTAAAAGAAAACGCATCAAGAAATTAAATAAACTTGGCCTTTTTCTTCTTTTCTACCGACACGATTCTCAAAATGTAGAGTATGTAAGATTACAAGTTAAACAAAAGGAAAATCATGTTATCTGCATCAACCGGCCAAGAAAAATACATGTAGTGGATGTTTAGCTGGGGCTGGGGACTCAAATAAATAGAGGGCTTCTTATGAAATATATATTTTCAAGAAGGAATTTTTAGGGTTGAGAACTTTTAAGTGCTTTAAAGTAAGATTTCTATATATATATATATAT